CAGTTCTCAATAAAAGCCAACCTTGCCTTTCCCCCTTCAAGACTGCCAAAGCTCTTCAAGTGGAGTTCTCCCTCACCACAGCAAGCCTGAACTCAACTTTGTCTTATCAATTGGTTGGGTTGGTGATATTTGGGGACCTAGCACTCAAAAAATGTTGTTAAATAAAATGAATATGCTGCAAATGGCAAAAAAAATATCATGGAAAATTACTTAGGTGGTAATACTAACAATTGATCGATAGGTGAGGAGTTTGAGGAGTATCAGTCTAAATGGTATTCTAGAAGTCTAAATCTAAATATCAATATTTTATTAATGGCCTAGGTCTAGACGAAAAAATACAGAAAATGTTCATTACACCTACAGGTGACTCCAAGACAACCCATAGTGAAGTGTGCCAAAGTGAAGAACTTATGGAAACAAAGTTCCAAAATTAAAAGTTTATTTAAAAAATATTAGAGTATTTATGAAAGAAACTGCACACATCTCAAATGAGGATGGAAAGAAGTTAACCAATCTCCAATTGTTTCACCCTCAACTTCACAAACTAAAATCTGTCACAAAGTAGCAACCCCACTCAGGAGCATACCAGGACCTCGTCTGGCAGCACACTACTCCACGTGTGCTCTCCTTTTCTGGTCACAACTTCCATGTGCACCCCCTTCTTTCCCATTGCTGGTCCTGTCAGTTGGGTCTTAACTTTCACTTCCCATTGCTCAATCCCTCTCAATCCATCCAGAGCTTCAATAGCTCTGTGGGCTTCAGTCCACTTCCCTGGCCGCCCTAACCTGTGGTCAGCCACTTCAGTCCTGGCCTCCCTGACTCGCTCATTCCTTTGGCATCCTTGTCCTGGCAGTCCTAGACCTAAATCACTCTCAGTGCCTTTCCTAGTCTCAGCTATTAAATGGGGCATATTCTAACACACATAGCTGTTGAGGAGCAAATAAAGATGTTAACAGTCTGCTGTAAACTCTAAATCACTCTATAAGCATCAACTATTGTGAATGTTACTGCTACTGAGTTAGGAGCTATGCTAATTTAGTACACAACAAATCTACGTTATTTTGGTTTAACTGAATCTTCCCTGAGTTCGATAATTCTGTTAGCTGCCTCTTGGTCATTCCGCATCACACTCTCTAAAATGCACTCCAAACAGATCCCAGTCAGAGATGAGTTCTAGTTCCAGCTCTGCCACTTGCTCTAGGTCATTTTGGACAATAACCAACACACTCCAGAGCAAGTTTATTGCTTTTTAAAATATACATAAGGATTGAGTTGAATTAAAGTGTCTCTAAGATCCCTTGAAGCTCTATGGTTCTGAGACCCTACTTGGCTGAGAAAATTGAAAGCATCAGTCAAACACTTTGATGGTCCCTCTTCTGCTTTTCAAAATGTTTCTGTATCCACCCTCCATTCCTTCCTTCCCTCCTTTCCTCGGACACCCCAGTCATCTGCATTCTCCACGCTATGTCTGCATTCTTTTTAATAGGGCCTGCCCATCCTCGTCAGCATCTTCACTCTCACCTTGACTTCTTTCACAGAAATTCATGTCACATCCCCTTGAAAAAGAAAAATTTCACTTGATCCTCCAGTCCTCTCTAGATGATACCCTGTATTTCCTTTCACTGCCACTTCCTGACAATAACTACCAATATTTCACCTCTCACATCCCTCAACCTAAAACCTGGCTTCTACTAGGACCTTTGCTAAACTCAGTGTTCTATGCCTCACCCTCATTCCTAAATACTACTGATGATATCCTCTAGGCAGTCCCTTCTCCTTTAGCTCCCAGCACCTCATTATCTTGGTTTCTTCCCTACATCTTCAACCCTGCTCTAAACATGGGCACCTCCCAAGACTCTGTCTTCAGTTCTCTCCCCTCTCTATCCTAACCAAAAGTCCACATCTCCAGCCCTGTCCTTTCACTTCAATTTCCACCACCACCCTCAACCACCTCTCTATTTAAAGAATGACACACCCTATCCAACCCAAATCACCCATGCTCACTCCTAACCTGCAAAACTGCCCAATCATTTTTGTTTCTTTCCTAAAAGTCTCTTAAGTTATGGATCAAAATGTGTCTCTCAGCAGGCTTCTCTTTTATTAGTCTTACTCTGATCACCCTAGTCTAGGTCCCATCACCATTATGTAAAATATATATCCTCTCTCTCACCCCCTACTACCCTACCTCTTCTAGACATACTACAAGCTTAGTATTTCATAGCTATAGCATTTGCAACACGCTCCTATCAGATTTCTTTGTGGCAGGTCTCTCCCCCTTCCAACACTTTCTCCAGATTGCTACTAGAGTGATAGGCTAATGCCTCCACAAAAACTTTCCAGTGGCTTCCCAGAGTCCATGAAATAAAGCCTAATCTCCTTCACAAAACTCTCAAACTCCCAACCCCACTGCCCAAACAGGCACAGTTTATGCTCCAGGATTATCAAATTAAGTTCAGTTCCCTGTCCCTAGAATGCTGACTCAAGAAACAGTTCCACACGCCCTTTGCCTAGAATGCCCTTCCCCAACACTTGTCTCCCTGGTGAGGCCCCGGGCATCTTTTAATTCCAAGCTCAATCCTCACCCCCTCTCTTGTCCTTTGGCTTCATGTCGAGTCCACCTATGCCCTCTATGCTAACAATCAGTCTTGTGTAGACGTCTAATAAATCTAATTCATCTATGTCTCCGGAGGGGTTCCTTGAGGGGGCCGTCTTGTCATCTTTCAAGCATTACTCCAGATTTCACAATTGGGAATATTCCCCTGCAGACAAGAAACATTTTTTCACTTGCTAATTCTCTGGGGCACAGAGCCTTCTCTCAGGGTGAATCTCCAGGTCCTAAACAATGAGAATGTCATGTTAATACCACCACTATAAAAAGACTACAAAGTGGCATGGGAGTGTACTACAATAGCAGAACAGAATATACCTACTCCACTTCTTTTATTAACTCCCCTCGAGTTTTGCCTTTACTGCAACTTGCACAGAGAAAGTACTTAAGAGTTTAAATGTACCAAATATTAACCAGGCTCTGATGGGCACTCTGATTTTAAAATAGCCCTTGACCTGGAAATACAGGTGCATTCAAATATACATCCTGACAAGAAAGGACAGACAGAGGATAGAGTTCAATGTCTGAGAGTTTACCAAGTCAAGAGTTCCTTGTGATAAACTCTAAAAGTACAGCAACATTTTAGACAAGGTTTGAAACTCATCCTCGTCTAAGAAATCTTAACAGAATGGGTTACATATGATAACGTCTACTCTCAGAAAACAAAATCCAGCTGGGTCTGTATTAACGAAAACCAATAGTGTAGCATTTATAAATAAATATGCAGTGAGGTAACACAGTCACAGATAGCTAGAGACAACAGTTTTAATGAGTCAAATCAAACCACAGAAGTAGTTTCCGTTTTAAATACATTAGGGTGTTAAGAAACTGAATTATTTTATGCATGGCTTCCTGAAAATGTTTTCTCTTATTAAAAGCTTGTTAGCTTCTTCTACTTAAAGAAGTCAACATGGGGAAACTGGTATTTCCTTGATTCTAAACTATACCAATGGTAAAACAAAACAAATCCCAACCTAATTAATTCTATTTTTGGTCTAGTTTCCAAGGCAGTTGTCACATACTATTCTCAGCCCACTGTTTCTAGCTTTGTAACATCAACCTTCAGTAGCTGGAAACGGTTACAGTTTGTATAATTCCTTGACACATATGCTCTATCACAGAGTCTCATTTTATTCCACCTGCCATCAAGGGTAGGAAAAAAAAAAAAAAGGATGTCATCCGATTAACTCTAAAGTTGCATTCCTAAAATCACTGTTAAATTTATTATTTCATGATATCATGTGATATGTTCCTATCAGGGCTTTGTAATTTGGGTTACATCAAGTCCATCAACACCAAGTTCCAGGTGGAACCCTCCCCAAATCAGAACTGCCAGTGAGGCTCAGCAACAGTACAAACCAGAAGAAAGGGAAGCAGGAAACAGGTTCTAGTTCGGAAAGGTCCCTGACTTGACCTTGGGCAATCCACTTCACTTCTGTAATTCCAACTGCAATATCTGCTTCCAAAAGAGAATCCTTCTAGGAATACTTGAAGTGCTTTAAGCTTCTAAAATAAAATGGAATTTTATAAACAGAAGATTTTATAAAACAATCTATTCTCTGACCCAATTTCCTAAACTGTCCAATCGAAAAGGTCATAAAACTGCTGTTTTCTTTTCAAAAACTCCTACTTGCACCACTGTATTACCGAATAAGCCAAACTTTGACTCTTTCTCTGCCTTTTAATAGAATAGTAGTATTACATCTACTTATTCTTAAATGTGAAGCAAGGGTAATCTATAGAATTGGGAGTTAAAAGTCCTCACGAATTAATGTGTCAGGTCAAATTAGGTCTACTGGTAGACAGAAGAACTGCACTGTCTCCCGGGGACTGAAAAGAAGCTGGAGGATTACAACATGTCCCCTGAATGATACTCTCAAACCTCCAAAATTCTGAAAAAGGACAGAGGAAGCGAAAGTGCTGATGGGGGAACGCGAGAAGCAAAGCCTCCAGTGTCAGGACCCAACGACATTGTTAGAACCGAAGGTGCATGTCTTAAGTTTAGTCCTTACTAACTTTGTTCCTCCACCGTGAAGAGGTGTGAGGTGGCTGCTACCAGAAAACTGCAGCTCCTAGGGTGGCGGGTTCCATCCTGATTCTAGCGTCGGCCTGAGGCCCCGGGGAGGAGGATTGGAACTAAACTGTAGTCAAGTTGACCCATCCAGCTCTCCCGGGAAGCGGTGGCAGTCATCCTGGAAAACACCCTCACGGGGGTCCGGGTTCTCGACCCCACTTGAGGAAGGAGAAAATAATGCCAGGCCGGAGGAAGGCGCAGCGGGCAGCTGGCGGCTTCACCTGCCGTTCTGCGGGCCCCACCCCTGCGCCCAGGTGTCTCGGCCCAAATCAGGTCCCAGCCGCGGCGCGGGGGTGCGCCCTTCGCGGCTCCACTTACTTTGTCACTGGTGCTCTCGGTTTCGTGGTCGCCGCCGGCTGCCTCTCCCTCGCGGGGTGGCGGCGCCACCGCTCCCCCGGGGCCGGGGCAGCCTGCCCGGTGCCTCAGCTCCAACATCTCCCGCTGCCGCGCGGCCGTGCAGGCCTCCTCCAGCGCCCCGAAAGCCGAGCTGCGCGCGGCGTCTCGCCGGCTGGCCGCCCTGCCACCCCGCAGCCGCGCCCTCGACGTCCGGCAGAGCCGCGGCCACTAACACGCCCCCACCACGGAGGCACCGCCACCGCGCCGGGTCACCCCCAAAACGGCATCAACGAGCGAGCGCTCGAGGCCGCCTCCAGCGAGCGCGGCGCCGGCCGAGGGGCGAGGGGCGGGCGCCCCGCCCGAGCGGAGAGGGCGGGGAGGCGGACGAGAGCGGCCGCCGGTTGCCAGGTGCGCGTCCCCACGCAGAGGCCCAGGTGGGAGGAGAAGAAGGGGCGGGGAGGGAAGGAGGAAGCGTGACTCGCTTGAGCCCCTCGCGGGGCGCCCGCCGCCGCGGCCCTGCCACTCCCCGCCCCGCCTCCGGACTCCGGAGTCGGCGGGTCCCGGCCCCTACACCTTTCCCCGGTTCCTGCCTCCCGCAGCCAGGTCACGCGCCGCAGGCCCCGCCCCGCCCTTCCGCGCTGCACTGCGGTTCCCACAGCCCCGCCTCCCTCGCGGGGGTGACGTCACGACCCGGCCCCCACCGCCCCGCCCCCGCCTCTGCGCGCGCTCAGGTGGGGGCTTTGAGACAAGGTGGGAGCGGCGCGGCTGGAGAAAAGGGGGGGGGGCGGGGGGTGCAGGAGGGACGATCATAGTGCTTGGAAGTGAGGAGTGGGCACTTGTAGACTCGTCACCTGGGAGGGCTGGAAGAACTACTCGAAGTCGCCTGGTAAATATTGACAGCACTCAGCACCGCCTCTTCAAATGACTCCTCGGCCGCATCAACTTGACACACCGCGGTGTGTCGGAGGTTCAGAGGCGTCCAGGAGCAGAAACTTGTCTGGCAGGACGGACTCGTTGACTTCGCGGCATTCTAGCCCCGTGTCATCACCTTGAAAATAGGAGATGCGTTTGCCTCACTGGGCGTCCCGGAATGGGTTGGCCAGTTTCAGTCACAAACCCAAGCTGTGTCTTCCAGAAACTCAACTATTGAATCTCACAAAACTCAGTGCCTAGGGTCCAAAGAGGGAACCTGGACCTGAGATGCCGTGGGATGTGATTGCCAACCAGCTAATCTCTGAGCAGTCATGGACCTTGGGATGCTAAAGCTGGAACTGGAAGGGCACAAGAGCCGCATTAATTCCATTCCAAATCCTGTTAGAAGGTGATTAGTTTTCTTGACATGTATCGCCACCTGGTCGTTACTGACAAGCTGACAAATGGGAAAAAAAGGAGGAGACAGGCCATCATACAAACAGGGCAATGTTCAGGAAAACACTCTTACAGAAATAAATCAACAATATAAATTTCTCAAGGTTATTACTGACACGTTGAAAATAAGTAACGTTGTTCTGCAACTTTAATAACATAAAAACAAAAAGTCAAAGTAGGATGCATTGCACGAGGACATCATTTTACTTCACTAAACAGATCTTTAAAGCTCTGGGTTCAGTGTGCGTCACCACCACATTTTCGAAAGGATGTAGAGAAATCACTCAGTCTTATGGGAAGAGTAACAAAAATGAAAAAGATATGAAAATAAGTCCTTGAGTGATGGTCATGGTGTGGTTTTCCTTAAGAAACAGAAGACTATGGGGTGACTAGGTTATTCGGTTGTTATCCATTTCTTTGCAGGACCAGAGATGAAAGACTGCCTAATTGTCAAGAACATAAGGTTACAGAGGCTGCTGAAGGCAGTAGTGGAGTTTCCATCTCTGGCTTCCTCACCCCACCCAGCAAAAAGGGGCATTAGAAGTGCTCCAATGGTCCATTCTTTTTTTTTTTTTTAATTGAGGTAACATTGTTTTATAACATTGTGTAAATTTCAGGTGTCCATCATTATATTTCATCTTCTGTATAGACTACATTGTGTTCACCACCAAAAGTCTAGTTGCTGTCCATTAGTCCATTCTAACCTTTGTGGAAGTTAAGAAGCCTGAGTTCTAGCCCCACCGATGCCACTAATTGGCTGTGTGGCCTTGGGTAAGTCATTAAGCCTCAATGTCCTCAAAGGAGGATAGCCTCTATGGACCTTTCCAGCTCACACATGATTCTGCAACTAAAGCCTCACTTTATCAGAGTCCAGCCCTGCCTTTCCCCCATGCCTCAAGAAAAGGGACCTAGCATGGCAAGGGGCCCCAATGGTTTCCTCTTTCCCCTTCCCCTAGTCGACCCAATGGCTCCTTTGACTTCTTTTCCCTTTGCTGCAGGAGAAGAAGACAGAGTGAGAGAAATGGCAGGAGGGAAGAGCAGGGGACAGAAGCAACAGTATTCCCTGACCTGGGACAAGTGGGGCCAGTGCAGAGACTGCCAAAATGGAGTGGTTCACTGCTTTACCTCAGCTTTCCTGAAGCTCTGCCTGCTTCGTGTATTTCAGCTGACAGTAATTTCTTTCCATCATCTTCATTACAGTTATTGCCGCTCGTCGAGTGATTCCCCTGAGCCCAGACAGCAGAAACCACAGTTTATTCATCTTCACAGGCCAAGCCTTTGCCATAGTGCTGGGCACCCCCTGCCCCACCAAATAGTCAACATGTTTGAAGAAGTGAATAAAGAAGTGAATGAATGGCAGAGGTATAACATATACAGTATTTGTAGTTTTTTAATAAAAAGATCTATATTAGACAGGTACACCCTTTTCTTCATTTTCACCTACATGAAAAAGAGAGAGACTGATTTTAATGTGTATTAACAGGGAATTCTAGTAATGACTTGCACATTGTACTTAAGATATATTACCATACAGTCAGTCACAACTGGACTTAGCTCTGTTTCTCAGACTTTCTCAACGGCTTTTTTCTTTTTCATTTTATCTTTCATTTGTCTTCATTCAGGGAGCTTACACTCTCTAAATTTACTACATTTATGTTCGGTGACATGAAATCTGGCATGTACTGGCTTCTAAGGCTTCACCTGTTAGTTTTATGAGAGTTTAATCTGCTGAAGGGCCCCCCAAGCATATGCATGGGCTAACCACAAAGGAGACACTCAGCCAATACTTCTCGGATGATTTATAGATGTTCTACATTAGTGATATTAGAATGATTTATAGCTCTTAGAGAAGGATTTGCTAGAGGGGAAAGAGAGAGAGTGCTAACATTCTTATCTGTATGGTTTTTATTTTTAGTCTGGTTTTTTTTTTTTTTACCTTCTCTTTTGCCCTAAGATGGAGAGACCTTGCCTGAAGTAGTAAGCATATGAGATGGAGAGACCAGCTATCACTCTCTTCCCTGAGTCCCCTCAGACCGTTCCCAGACTGATAAATATTTCCCTCTTGTGTGACAATTTGAACTGCTTTCCACATCAGAGGCTCAAAGGCGCCTGGCTGGAATGTCCCCCGCTTGCCAGGGGAAGAAGAAATCTTCCTCAGCCAAGCGTTTCCAGTTGCTTGGACACCCACATTATAGCTTTTGTCCCTTGACCTATCTTTCTCTGTTGCCCTCTGTCACCGCAGTTTATAAGTCGGAGGTAGGAATTTCTAATTTAGGCCTACCAGAGAAACATTTTGTGGGAAATTCTTGAAGGACAATTTATGTTTATACTCGTATTTTTAATGAAACTACACAGGAAAACAATGGTGTACCATCAAGTATTATAGTGACCAAGTATCAGAGAAGTGAGTGCGGGGCTGTAGTTAGAAGTACGGGTTTTATACACTGGAAACTGGGTTCAAGTCACAGCTCCACCATTTTCTAGCTGTGACCTAATTTACTTGATGCAGCATTTTCATCACATACAGCTGAAGCTACATCCTAACTGACGTGCCCATTCAAAGTTTAAGTAATAAGTCTTTACGTTACGCTTTGCAAAGCACTTTCACATACATTGTTTTATTTATTCTACTCAACAACGTATGAGGGAGGCAGGACAAATATTATTATTCCCATTTTACAAGGAAAACAATCTGAGGTTCAGAATTTAAACTGCCCAGGTTTACAGAGGAAATTTGGGATTGAAATCTAGGTTTTGTACTTCAAATTCTGCCAGGTCCATGCAAATATGTAGTAGCAGAAAGAAGTAACTTCTAAGAAGGAGCCACTTGTTCCAACAATCAAGCACAGGAATTCTGGGGCCAATCCATCTGCGTTCAAGTCCCAGCTCTGCCACCTACTGGCCTGTGGTGTCAGTCAAGTAACTTACCCGCTCTGTGCCTCAGTGTCCTAATGTATACAATATATTCCTCCTAGAATTCTTATGAAGAGTAAACTGGTTAATATATGTAAAATATTTGAAACAGTGCCTGATCATAGTGAAGCACTATACGAGTGTTACCTATAATTACCATTTATATTATTGAAAGCTGCGTTTCTCAAGGAGAACAATATTCTGCCTCTAAACTCACAGAATCTGCAACACCTCAGAAGACTCTAAAGTGAATGAGGATATGCTGACATTGCTTCGGTAAGGTGGGTAGAAATTATGAAATGGGGTAGGGCAACTTTGCAAAGAAATCATCAGCCTATCAAATTAATTAACTTTTGCAGCGGTAGTAAGATTAAGGAAATTGGCATTCCCTATTATTAACTGGAATCCATTACTCCCATGTGTCTTGTATCTGGTATGATGATTGCAAAATTCATGCCATTTCTAGCTCCTCCGCTGAATCATTGTAACTCTGAGCAAATTATATTTTGGTGACTTAATTCCTTTGAAAAATAGGAGGTATATTCTTTCTATAACTTTCTAAATTATGTTCTGAAAGAATGGCTATGTATGTGCTTTTGATACTGCATGGTTCAACTATTTTGTTAATGCTGATTATGGCTGGATTTATATTTTTTTAGAGGTGGTCATTTAGAGAAGTGCAAGAGATTGGTAACTGTCCTTAGAAGGGCTGAATCAGGGCCAGCCCTGGTGGCCTAGTGGTTAAGTTTAGCAAGCTCTGCTTCAGTGGCCTGGGTTCACTTCCCAGGCATGGACCTACACCACTCCTCAGTGGCCATGCTGTGGTGGTGGCTCACGTACAAAATAGAGGAAGATTGGCCACAGATGTTAGCTCAGGGCTAATCTTCTTCAGCAAAAAGAAAAAGAAAAAAAAAAAAAGGCCTGAATCACGATTTGCTTCAAACTGTGTCAATTATCTCTGAAATGGCTGAAACCCAGGGGTATCAGTCAAAGTTCTTAGATGCGAGTCTGGCTGATTTAGGCAGACAAAGAATTTATGGAAAGGATGATAAGAAGCTCACAGAACTCTTGGGAAAGCTGAAGAACCCAACATAGAAAACTGGTAGAAACAAAGGATGCCAAGCAGCAGCCAGGACCACAGTCAAAGCCATACCCCAAACCAACCAACTGAGGCCGCCATTGCTCACTCACTGGGACAGGCCCCCACAGCTTGCACCATCACTGTGGGGACACCAGCCACTGGGTGCCACGGCTGTCATTGCTGACCCTTTCCAAGTTAGGTTTTTCTTCACAAACTCTTGTTGACT